TGAAAAACTCCTTTTAAATCATTCAACAAAGAATTTGAAAACTGGGTCTTCATGACCATGTCATCAACATAACATTCTACTTTATTGTTGATCAATGACTCAAAAATTTTATTTACAAGGCGTTAGAATGTTGCCCCAACATTTTTCAATTTGAAGGGCATGACCTTGTAATAATATAACCCGAGCTCAGTTATGAAAGCGGTATTGTCTTCGTTAGCGGGATCCATCCTAATCTAGTTGTAACCGGAATAGGTGTCCAGGAAGCTCAGTAACTCATGCCCTGAGGTCGCGTCCACTAGCCGGTCGATCTTGGGTAACGGGAAGCAGTCTTTCGGGCAGGCGTTGTTTAGGTCGGTGTAGTCGACACACATGTGCCATTTGCCATTGGCATTTTTCACTAGAACCGGGTTGGCCACCTAGCTTGGGTAATGGACTTCCCTGATGAAATATGTTGTGAGGAGCTTCCCGACCTCTTCATCGACTACCCTCCAACATTCCGGGGCGAGGTTGTGTTTCTTTTGTCTTATTGGCCTAACTAAAGGGTCGGTATTAAGTTTCTGAGTTATAATTTTTGGATCAATCCCGGGCATCTCTGCCGCAGACCAAGCAAAAATATCTAAATTTTCAAGTAAGAAACTTACTAGCTGGGTTCGAAGCAGTTCGCTGATCGAGGCACTGATCTAAAGAGTTTTGGCTGGTTTGACGGCAGAGACTGGTATGTGGACTGTTTCTTCTTTCGGGGCAGCTCACTTGTCGGTATACTCCACCGGTTGCTCGAGCTCGACGTCCTCTGCTTGTTTTGTTTTTCCTTTTAAGGCCACGTAGCACTTGCGAGATTCGAGCTGGTCACCTCGCACGACTCCCACTCCATAATTAGTTGGGAATTTCATTGCTAAGTAGTAAGTGAACACTATCGCACATAAAACATGCGTGATAGGCCGACCTACTATTGCGTTGTAGGGGGAGGGAGTCGTGACTACCAAGAATGTATGCTCAAATCGCACAATGTTTGGCTACGTGCCGGCTTCCACGGGTACTGTGATTCGACCAAGAGGTATGACCTCCTCGCCGCTAAACCCTATCAAAGGCGTATCTACCGGTTTCAGGTCGCTCTGCTATAACTGTAATTTATCAAAGGTCTCCTTGAAGAGTATGTCTACTAAGTTGCCTGAGTCCATCAAGATGTGTTTCACCTCGAAGTCATTAATCCTTAGCTTTACTACTAAAGCATCATCGTGCGGGTACTGGATCTCACGCGCATCGTCCTCAGTGAAGTAGATCGGTTCTTCGAGGCGAGGTCACTTTGGCGAGTTTTCACCTTCGTTCTCCAATTCGCGGATTGAGGTCCTCCCAGCTGCCGATGTACATCCGGCAATGATGGACCCGTCGGTGATCATGTTGATCACCCCGCAGACTGGTCTTTCCTTTGGCAACTATCACGGTGGTTGCACATTCTGCCTGCTGACCTCGGGGCCATTCCTCCTCTGATTCCCCTGTCAATCTGCCAGTTGGTCTGCTTGCACCCTCTCCTTGCAATATGTAATTCTCTAGATACCCGCGGCGGATAAGTTCATCGATCTCGTTGCGGAGATTCCTGCAATTCTCCGTGCTGTGTCCATGATCTCGGTGGAAATGGCAATAGACATTCGGGTTTCTTGTTGCCGGGTCTTCCCTTAACCTATGAGGCCATTTGAGAAAGGAGGAATCCTTAATAGCCATTAAGATCTCTCATCGCTTAGCATTCAAAGGGGTATAGCTCATTCTCTCCATGGGCGGCATCCTGGAGCGCCGACCTGGCTTGTGGGTGTGCGAGGAAGCACTTTATATGGCTTCTGATTGATTCTCCTTCCCTCTAAACCACGTTCAGAAGGTTTTCTTGCGATTTCGGGCACTTCTTGCTGGTAATGAAGTGTGCAACAAACAGGTCGGCAAATTGGGGCCAGTTTTTGATGGAGCCCGGTGCGAGGTTTCGATACCAAGTTCGGACCACCCCCCTAAACGTAGTGGAGAAGGCCATACACATGCAGGACTCGTCAACCCTAGATAGGTGCATCTGAGACTAGAAGGAATCCACATGATCGTTGGGGTCAAACGACCCGTCATACTTATCTAATGGGGGCACCTTGAAGTCTTTCGGCATCGGAGTTGCTAGGAGCTCGGGAGATAGAGGAGATGATGGGCAAAGCAATGGAGGCGCAACCTTTGTTGCCACTGAGCTCACTTCTTCATTTTCTTTAGCTTGCTCTGCTTGCTAGTTTGGCTTCGCTGGCAGACTGTTTCTGGCCGAGGAGCGGCGTGTTTTGTGATGTCGCCGCTGCTGCTTCTTTACCGGCTCTACGTTGGTACTACTAATTTCAATCTGATTTGGTATTTTAGCATCACTACGGACATTATCGCGAAGTGGATCCTAGTTCCTTCTTGTCAAGGTTTCTTGGTTGTGGGGTTCGCATCGGCTATCA